CCCCGGGCTGCCGCGGGCTCGGGAGAATCCCTTCCTATGGAGTAGTGACAGGGGAGCCCTGCGCCCCCGGGTCTGCGCGGAGCGGCGGCCGCTTCCCGCTGGACTGCGGCTTCAGGAGGAGGAGAGCTTGAAGTGTTCCTCGGAGCTGGAGTTGCAGCCTGGTTCCTTACTTGAGTGTTTTTTTTTTTTTTTTTGGTCTTCTCCTCCTTAATGATTTGTTACGCGTATCTCTCGAGGGAACATCTTAGGAATGGTCATTTTTAGCAGTGAAATCTGCTGCGCAAAGGAGGATTATAACAGATCTCTATGAATGATAGACTCGATTGCTAAACCTTGCCTTGACCGACCTTCTGACCCTCGGAGAGAGCTCTCAGGGTGTGCGTGGGAAGGATAAAAAAATCCTCCCATTTGAAAATAAACTTGAAAAAAAAAGACTAATTTTTTGGAGCCTAATTGCTTTATAATTGCTTTTTTCCCTCTTTGTTTTGTGATAAGTTGTTTTGAAAAGGATTGTCCTACATGGTTGTTTTGTAACTGGTGGAGGAAGGAAGGATCCCTCTCAAGCGTTTCTGGTATGACAGCTTTGGTTTCTGAAGAGTTAACTGGTGTTTGCATTATACACCTCTTGCTAGTCTGGTAGCAGACTTTTCATCATTTTATTTGCATTTTTTATTAACTGGGGCTCGTGGAGAGGGCTGTCTTGGTCACAACAATATTTGCACATATATATATTGTATATATTTTTGGTGGGGTTCTCCCCACATTTTACTCTTTCTTGATGACTCCTGGAGGTGGTAGTGGGCCCATGAAAGACTGTGAATACAGTCAGATCAGCACACACAGTTCTTCGTCTCCCATGGAGTCTCCCCATAAGAAAAAGAAATCAGTTCCCAAGAGAAAATGGGAGGTTTTTCCTGGAAGAAACAAATTCTTCTGCAATGGGAGGATCATGATGGCTCGACAGACTGGAGTTTTCTACCTGACTCTTGTTCTCATCTTGGTCACCAGTGGACTCTTCTTTGCATTTGAGTAAGTGATGTTAAAGTCTTCATATCTTCCTTCTTCTCTTCTAGTTATTTATTTTCTGACTGAAAGCAAAATAAACATTTTTATTTAGGTGTCATAGAGAATGCTGACTGAATTCACCTAATACAGGTTTGTATAATTGAAAATGTGATCTGATAAGATGCTGAGGAGTGCATAATACAGTTTGGGTTATCATACTCTGTGAAAAACTAATGTTTGAGGATTAACATTGAAGGTATAAAAGCTCTTGCTGATGTTGCATGAGGAGTGTAAAACAACAGGTTTGGGATGGCCAGGAAACGATGTAGCTTCTTGTGTGTTAATTACTCTGAGAATCAAAACTGGCAGGTGCAAAAATACTGACCTTTTGTCACAGAACTGAATGCAAGAAAAAAGGTATCTTTCATTAGTTTATTAATTAGGCCTGTTTTTGTTCTCTTGACGTTGCTTAATAGCTTGTAGATGAGAATTCCAAGTGAGGAGAAAAAAAGTAAAGAGTCATACAATTTTGCATGTACCTAGCATTCCACCACTAGGTAACAGCATTAGTTTCTGTTTGTGATGATAGCTTGTATATGAGTTTGGTTTTAGTTTAAGCTATGTTTGCTTTGGTTTGGTTTGTATTTTTTTTTAAGCGTGCTTGTGTTGTCCTTCTAGGGCTGTTTTCTCTGTTGCTCTGAATTTTCAAGAGTCCTTTTCATCTATGTAAAGTGAACATACAGTGACAGCAAATCAGATATACTGATTTTTGCACTTATGTTGGAGTGGTTAAATTAACTACATATGGCAATAAAGAATTAGGCACTTGATATGAGCAATACAGTTTGACTTTTATTTACTTATTTTTATTTAAGCACCAAGTACAAAGATGTTTATACTTCTAAAACACTTTATATAACAATAATTGAATTATTTTTAAAGGGTTAGTGCTACTTTACCTGTTTTAAATTATTGTAGTTTGATTTGTGGCAGGGAAAAAAATCTTCACATTACTTTTTTTCTGGAATAGGAGCTATTATTTATAACTGAGGCTCAGTGCTGCCTACAGGAATTATGTTTGCTTTGCTAAGTGATATTGAGAAACAAAGGTCATTCATTACTTGGTGTCTTCAAGCAAGAAGATAGTGACATTAACAAACCCAAAATTGTACCTGTTAAATGCAGATCATCTTAACAACACTGGTAGCAGTAAAGAAGGTAAAAATGCTGGGCAGGTAACCAGTGGCTAAATGCATATGTGAGCTCAGCAGATGAGTTGTCATTAGTGGGCTTCAGATTACTTTAGAGGGATTTATTAATTGTAAATCTTCTGCAGACGTTATGAAGCTTGAATATCATGTGAGTAGCTGAAATAACACAGTCAATTCTGGTATCTACAGTGCAAGAGTGTTTACTTTCCTGGTTTTGAACGAGTATTAAAGGTGTAACCTGACAGTATTGCATCAGGACTGGGTGCTACTGTATTCTGTTTGCCTAGTTTTGTAAAGCTTTTCTGTGTGGGCTGACACTTGCATCTGTGTGCAGTCTCGTCATCTTCAGAACAGCCTTTGAACGCAAGTGTAAATGTAGGATCGAAACTGTAATGTTTTATGGTCACGATTGTAAAACTGATTTATCAAACCACTATTTACAGTTCATTTGTACGTTTTAACACTTTGATCCTTCAGAGAGAAATTTTCTCTGCAGCTGCATGATTCAGAACTGCTAAAGCAGGATGAGCGGCTGGCTGTTCATCACCTTCTGATTTCATTACTACTGGGAGTTACGTGCTCTACCGGAGTTGAATTCTGCAACTTCTGTCAGGTCTTTGAGAGTATTTGCAGTGTAACCATATGTGATTGACAACATTTTTAGTCAAGCTACAGCATTTTCATAGTTGGTGCTTATTCTAACTGGCAGTCTTGAAGCGGGGAAGAATCTTGGGCTTTATATAATATAACTGTAGAAATTCTCCTATGTACCGGTCTTGAGTCATTCTTGTATCACTTGCACTCTCCTTTTAAAGGAAAAGCAAAGTAGAGGGTGGCAATGGTATTTTATTTTTATAATTATAAGGTAGATTTTGGTCTTTAGAAAGCACTTGCATTGAAAAATTATTACTCATCTTCTGAAGGCTAATTAAAACCCAAACCTAAAGACTATGAGAACGGTGTTCAGTATGTTAGTGATGTTGCAACTGCAGAAGATTGTCAATGTTAGAAAAAGAGGGGAGTTAAGAGTGTTACTTTGAAGCAGTTTCTAATTGCATTATTCCTAGTACTGTGAAGTTACTATTTATTGATCAGTTGATAACATCCTGAGTTGTTAAGTGTCATTGCCATTACTGGCTTATTTGGTTATGATGCTTCTTATTAACCAGCTATTTATTGAATATGACAGAAATGTCTTTCAGTTCTTTGTGTACATGTGGAACAAAGTAGTTTTGAAATGGGCATGTGCCTTGTGTCTGAACTGTAAGGTCCAACTGTCATTGAAGAGGAAGATACCCTGTATGTTCTTGGAATTGTTTGCTTTTTTTTTTTTTAATTGTAATTAATTAATTTGTTCCTTTTGATTTTGGAAACCAGAAAATAGGTACTCATGGTCCAGGTCATTCCCTGGTTGCACACACTGAAGAGGGGAAGTAGGAAAGAGATTATTCCTGGAGAGCTAATTCCTTGAAAACATCATACTAACATAAATAGTTGTCCCTTATCCTTTGTATTCATTTGTTTCTCCAACGTGATTTCCCCCCCCATTCCTTTTATTTTACTCTTGACATCCACTCATCCAGAGCTTTATCTCATATACTTTGGAATACTCTTCAGGGGAGAAATACATTTCTCCAAATCAACAAATCTTAGGTCTCCAAAAACAAACATATGTCACACATTTTGACCTGGACAGCTTTTGACACTGAACCGTGCCTTTGTAATCTTTGTTTCTTCATATTGGTGCTTCTGTGCTTTTTTCTGCCTACTTTTTCCAGCTCTTGCTTTCAATTGGTTTTGTTCCTTTCTCTCTTTTGACTTTTATCTCTTGTGTACTCCAAGTACATCACCACTTCTTCCTTTTATCATTTCACTGTTCTTTTTAATTTTCAAAGAGATAAGCTAGGATTTGCTTAAAAGAAAAGCAACAAACCATGAGCTTTCAAGCAGGTAAAATATTTATAATTCCTGTCTCCCTCCCCTTCCAAAGGAAAAGTATGCAAATAACAAGCAGTTTTATTTCTGCAACTTGTCTTTTAAATGTAACATGAATGATTACAAGCACTTTTGGGTCCTAAGGGGGATGCTGTGCTTGAGTTGTCCTTAAAAATTATGCCTGTTTCAAATTGCTCAAGTTGAGACACCACAAATTACTGAATTTGTCTTTAAAATTTCAGTATATTATTTTACCTTGAAACTTTTTCCTAACTCTAATCATGTGGTATTTAGCTGTTCTTTTTTTTCTTGTAAATTCGGTGTTGTGTTTCATTTTCTTTTTTTCCTTTGCCTTCCCCTATTACACACACATGCGTATTTTTCTAAAGTATTCAGTGCTCACTTATCAAGATAGCTGCATGGAAAGCTCAGAAAACAAATTCCTTTCCCCAGAGCAAAGATAGCATCTGTAACTGAAGGGCAGATCTGCTGCTGTACCTAGCCAGTTCAGCCACTGTATTTACATATATGTAAAGTCCTTTATTTGTGCAATGGAGGCAGAACAAACTCACTTCATACTTACTGCACTTATTCAGCTAGGTATACATACTCAGAAAAGAATCCTTTATACCTGTGGTCATTTGGGGTACTGATTTTGCGGGTTTCAGGAAAGCAAAATGGAGGGTGAATGACATTTAACACAGTAGGATTTTTTAAATGTGCATATTGTTAAGTGGCAAATGTTGTGTGGATGCACAAGTTCATGAGTTCCAGAGCGGTGGAAGACAAGTTTGGGTATGTTGCTACTGTGAGTAGCCCCTGTGTGCCAGCTCCCTTCCCTCTTGGACCTTACTGGGCAGGTAGCAGGAGGGAACATGTCTGCACCTGAGCCGCTTCATTTCAGGCAGGCAAAATAAACTTCCCATAAAACGTGGTTTTAAGTGAAGATGCCAGCTGAACTGAATTGACTCAGGCACAGTCATATTTTCTTCTGTCAACTCATTTGCAGGGTGAGTGGCTCTGGGAGAAGGTTGAAGCAGATGGTAGGAAGCTGGAAGGGCTGAAGCAGTGCAGCTTTTTTCTCTGTAAACGTGAGTCAGAGCCCTATCACTTCTGATACCATTTGAGGCTTGCACTGATTCAACAAACTGGAGGGGTTTTTAGTTTGTTTGTTTTGAGCTAATTAACCCTTGATTTTTTTTTTTTTTTGGTGAGCATTTGTGTAATTCCATTGTCTTTGCACAAGATGGATGCTGGAAAATTATTTAAACTGAGACTGTTTATGTGTCTATGTGTGTACAAGCCATTGATTTCTATCCACTCTTACAGTTGCTGGCAACCTACTCCATGCCTCCCACTTTGAAAACCAGTGTGAGTGGAGGACATTGATGAGTCACACTGATGCCATGTAGATTGTTCAATATTGAACTTCTATGGCAAAGTGGTGTAACTTGCTGCTCACTGTGACAAACCTCTGTGTGTAAACACTGATGTCAGTAAGCTGAGCATTTTCACTGTGGTATCAATAATCATCATCATCTTATGGCAAGTGTTTTCTGCTCTTGCAAGAGCTGGATTCTTAGTGTGAGGTTTGTATTCCAAGTAGGTAGAATGGTCTTCATGTAATAACCGTCTTTATCTTTCTTTGTCTGTTCTTAAGTCAAGTAGGTTACTTGCATCTTTTGATTGCAATGTCCTTAAACTAAGAGTTCCTTAGAAGGAAGTGCTACCAGTCTGACTTCAGCTGTTAAAGGCTGCTATAAACTCACAGGGCATTTCCCACTGAAGTTGTCAAAATGGATTTTAAAGCAAAAATCATGGTATATAAACTAAAATTATTTTTCAACAAGAGGACTGCATCCTTTTTTACTTGGAAGG